ATCACGCATGACTACATAAGTGTATATGCCGAAACCACCCACATACATCGTGTGAGGTGGCCGTGTTCGTACACTTTTTTTCATAACAGTGCTACATATCAGCATGATCCACGCTGCGTGAATTATTCTTCACTGCCATACTCACCGCCACGGACCCTCAGCCCTTGAACGGACGGAGTGCCAGCAGTAGCTAGTGGCATCAGCTACTGCTCTACACCCGCAGTTCAGGAGATTGGGGTCAGTCGCGGCGAGCACGGCTGAGACCAATGTTGGATGCCGCTTGGTTCCGGCCCAGGTTTCGGACTGTTTTGAAAGGCTCCTGCGACCTTCGATATTTCAGCTCCATTAGCAAACCTGAACGTGCCAGCGCGCACGACGCACATCTTCATGGTGTCCTCTACTGCTGACAATAGAATGCCTAACCTTACCCTCGAAAATGGCCTTGTTTGCGCGTCTTCCGTTTAGGCTCTATTGACTTGAATTTAGAGATATGTGAATTTTATCTTGGTTTCAACGTAGGCGTGTGGAGGTAGACGCGTGAAATGTATGTTTTGAGCAGCCTCTACTGCCGCCCAGTGCAAGAATCGACGATTCCTGTTAGTCGCGATGCCTTCCGAATGATCTTGTGTGTGTGTCGTGCAGTTGCTGGTGCTCTTGCGTTATTTTCAAAAACTAGCCAACATCAAAATTCTTGTTCTGCACGCCTTCAGAGTCGTGTCCACAAGGAGCAGGTCGTGACACAGGATCACACCAGCACTGACAAGACAGCAGTTGGATGCGAGTCGTTCACCGAACAAACCCCGTTTGTGCTGAGCAGCAACGAGGCAAGCTTCCCCAGGCAGTGCTGTATCATAGCTGTACAATATGCGTTGTGCCACTCACCCTGTCGGTCCCGAAGCAGTTGAACGAGTTGAACATGGCGCACCGCTCTTGCTCACCAGGCGCGGTGGGGAGCACCGCAGGAACGAAAGGCACGGGCATGCCGCCGAAAGAACCGCCACCAGTAGCAACGTTATTGCTGCTCTCATGTTTGTGTGCTTCGACCGACCTATCTTTCCTGTCTCTCGTTCGCTCTGTGTCTGGTTCCCTGGTATGTCTGTTGAAGCGCCTGCGTGGCACATGATCACACCAGGCACCACACCACAGATGGTATTTAGGCGTACGGGGCACCGTGATATGGAACACCCGTGTGGGGTATCCAATATATCTGCTGCGGGGCCTTCCCCGCTGCTGAGTGCTGCTCAACGTGTCAACCTGCCTACCTGCCTCTGGCGTGCCGTTTGTTGTGGACTACACACGAGAAACAGGGTGAAAGAAAGCGAGGGAGGGAGAGCGCCGGAGTTGAGGGACATTGACTGACGAGAGAACAAGCGGGTGGCGAATGACAATGTGAGACACAACAAGGCAGGGAGGGTCGTCTATGCTGTTCTATGTACACCTTTACAGCAAGAGAGCACTCACGCTCCTCCTTCCTCAAGTGTACACAGCAGTAGATGATTTCTGCTGTAGTCTACAGTAGTAAACGACGCTTACGTTCAGAACTTGGGTGCAAATCGATACCGCTTGATGCCTTGCCTGTTTCTGCCGTGGCTTATTCTCTCTAGTGGTGGATGGTGTCTGCGTGACATTTCGTGGTTCCGGTATTAGCTGCGTTGGCCCCATCATGGACTACGCGACTAGTTATTTACGACTGGTGAAAGAATGTGCAGCAGTTCACCCCAGGACCCAGCACAAAGCCTATGTAACTTGTCTGACCTGCTGTCCGATCAGCGACATCTTGAATATTTGGAACCTGGAAGCTGGGTGCGGTAGCAGTACTGCTGTACCACACACCAGTGCCAGCCCGCTCGCAAGAACATCTACGCCTACAGAAATAATCGAAGTGTATTTGAAAACATCAAGCACTGAGTACCAAGTAGATATGGGGGTCGGCTCAACACCTCCAGCGGTACGTAATCTGTATCTCCAATGATACTTCTCCGCACTTCATACATACGTTTCCGGAATATATTGAGCGGGTCTTCAAGACTGCTGTGCATCCGCTCCCCGCTGGTGTCAAGCGTCAACAGCTGCAGCACCAACGAACGGCGGAGGAACAAACGCACGCCGTGACACACGCGATGCTACACAGCAGTACAGCGGTACAACCAAACGATCGGCACCCAACAGCACTGCCGCCGGCAGTAAATGAACGATAGACAGGGTGAGAATACACTATTATAGGTAAAGAACCCATCGGACAGCGTGGTGTGGAAAGTGGCAGGAACACAGCAGTTCCATCGGGGGCAGCTCGTTCTCTCGCATGGATTGGCCGTTTGTCCACATCTCTAATGTAGTCTCTCATGTCTCGTTTCGCTTGCTGGAGGCGGCGGCGTTTACATATTTGCTTCCCTATCGTTTATCCCCTGCCTGCCCTACTGCTGTTGTAGGGCGAAATACGCCATCCCTATCGTTCAGAGTCCCACACGGCGATTGCGTCAACAGCTCCAACCGCTTCAACTTCGCTCTCCGCTGCTGTTGTTGCTGCTCAATATGGGGAAGACCTCAATCTATCTTGTTTTCACCCATCGATTTTTCCAACGGCAAATAGAACCACCAAGACTCTCCCTGCTGTTGTCTAGCAACAGAGAGAACACCAGGTCTGCTGTTACTGCTGTCCTTTTTTTCCTGCGAAAGGGGTTTAACAACGGCGTGTAAGTTTGCTTCTGTACATGTGCGAGACTAGTCAGCGGTGTAAGCTATATATGCATACGTACCTCTGTTTTCTTCTCCTGGTTTCAATTCGCCCGCTTGAGATCTCCGCTTGTTCTTCGTGAACACCCTAGGATTATGGATTATGGATGATGGATGATGGATGGGGTAAGAAATCTCCTCGAATTCTTGACACAAACGCCTCTGAAGCACGGCCATCTCTCGCGGGAGCACGGCCAAACCTGTGTGACGAAGAGTGTGCTATTTTTCTCCCTCCGTAGAAGCGAACAGATCATACTTTTATACTTCTATACTTATTTACTTATATTTATATTGGTTGTGGTAGATCTCGTTCTGGTTCCAAAAGGAAGGTGGGTTACTGTTGTAGGCTTCTCGGAAGGCAAACTCTGGGACCCTGGAGCGCGTTGGAACAGGCCGATAACTCGAGACGGAGGGAAAAGAACAGTTGCTCTTCGCACTCCGCGGCTGATTACAACGTGGATAGTGTACACGGGCCGGGCGTATGGGCATTCGGCCCCCACGCCCCCACGTCCTTAGAGTTGCGGTGGAAGGCGGGAGGATGCGGTACTTAGAGTTGTATGTAAAAGTATGCGTACTGCTATTGTAGGTTAGAGCGGTGTAAAACGACTGCATAATATGCATACCAACTGACGGTCGTGTACCTTACCGGTATCTTCTTTCATGACTGACTCTGTGACTCTGCGAGTAAGGTTGTAGTTGTACTTCGCAGAATCCAATACAGCAGCAGCATATTGTATGTAGACTTGATGACAATACTGCCGTACTTGGGCCGTAGGAGCTTCGACGGCAAACAAACACATGTGCTGGCTGCTGTATGTGTGTGGAGGCTAGAAGACGGAGTTTGGTGCGTTTTTATCTCCAGCTGAAGGACAGGCAAGAGACTAATTTGTCGGACTTCGGAGTACACATTCCTGCTATGCACAAACTATTTCTATGCATAGTCAAACTGCTGTATTGTATGCACGCGCTGGGATTGTTCTTCGGCGATGCCTCTTTACTTCTATGTACTTTCGACATACTTATTCTAGCGAAGCGAGATTTTGAGGTCTCAGCGCAATATAGCGCTCCATCAAGAAAAAAAAGTACGCTACATCACTTGATTTTACAGGGGGGGTCAGCACGTGGCCACACGGCAGATTGCAGCTATTGAAGCTGCAGAAGAACACGCACAGCAGACAACACACGCTTAGCGGGCACAGCGATCGACGACATGCAGCGGCCAGCGAAATAGCGGGTGTACCTGCTGTGAGCTCATGGCAATTGAATGAATAGACGTGTTGCATCACACGCACTTCCTCCCGTAGATACACACGTCTGACGACAGTTACATCTATCAGCTGTCGCTCGTTGTAGCGACAGCTGCTGTGTCTTTAGTAGATGGAACGGGGTACATGTATTGAGCCGCGGGGTACGGCAGTAGTCTATTTACGATGCTCTGTGCTGGTGTAGTGTTGCGTGCGACGGGCGCGACGAGGTGCCCGGTTGTTTGTTTTCCGTTAATGTTAATGTTAATGCCACGCACTTTCCAAGGACCAAAACATGAGCCTTACCGTCGTGCACAAATATAATGCGGACATGCGGAAGCAATTACGCATACCGGCAAGAGACATGGGGTACTTCACGTACTTGGCCATGAGCAGCTCACACCGCCGCAGAGCATCAGCAGCAGCGTGTAGACATAGCATCCCGCCAGTGCTGCAGATAGATGCGGCAGGGTCACAGCTTACGTGCCACATCCAATAGTCTCAACCCTGCCGTTCTTCCCACGCAGTGAAACCAAGCAGTCTACGTTATTTTCACCCAACAGAGAAAGCCGTTGACATCAATTTTACGGGAGGGCATCAACGGCATCGATAGCAGGCAGACGGCGCTGCTTCAATTCACGCTAGCTTGCACATGGCGGGCGGATGGCTGTACCCACGGCGCGCAGGTCGGATAGGCTCGGCCCCTGCTGTTTTTGGATTGCTGGCCCAGCGCTGTATGTGGCGTTTTCCTCTGTTTGTTTGTCCTGCGGATTCGAACTGCTTGTGTGCGTGCGATCTCCGATTCTCGTGTGCCTCCATTACCTCGACAACTCCCGGTTGTGGTGAGGTATCTCGAACGATTTTTTGACACACATGCGTGTGTAGCACGACCATCTGTTGTCGAGCACGACCCAACCGGTGTGACGAAGAGCAAAGTATTGTTGTATTTTCCTTCTTCCTCAGAAGTCAACAGGTCGTTAGTCGGTGCCCTAATGGTCTTGGTTGTGTTGAAAAGGAGGGTCGTTGAGGGTCCCCGGAAATCACACTTGGTCCCTGCACCCCGTTGGGACAGATTTCTCGCAATAAACAATGAACAATAAACAATATGCAAAGGTGTTTCAAGCAGTCCAAAATCGGACTTGCACAGCAGGCTGTATACTCATGTTTGCAGCTCACCCATCTCGATGATACTGCTGTAGAAGGATGGTTTGGAAAATCGAGACCGCTAATCTGTAGGCTACAACCTCAGACACCAACCTTGTACTTGTACACCAGCGACCGCAGCGGGCGTTCAATTTGGGATGGTAGCTTCGTACCGGAGTTAAACTTTGGGAAGCTAAGGCACGCAGGCGTTTCCTGGATTATTGAAGAGAAAAACGGCGTACTTTGGGTACATTGGGTACTGCACGGCGACCTTCAGTCGGAACCTACTTTCCAACTTCGCGCCCTTGGTGTGCACGTGCGAGTCGCACATCGTAAGCTTTCCACCTTGGCCATTAACATCATCGAGTTGAGCGCGGGTGTTTCCAGGTTTAGCATGAGGACGAGGGCGCCCGTGGCGCCCGAAGCCCGGCGCCCTTGTAGGCTAGCGCAAAAGGGTAAGGACCACATGACGATGGGATGGGATTTCGAACGAGATGGGGTATGAGGACTTGCAGCAAGTCTTCCGGGTGTTCTTTAATAGAATAGCAGTAGCCCAGTCGTATTGGTAGACATGCGCAATAGCAGTGGGTGACATGAAGTTGGTTGTATTTATGTACCGCTTATATTGCAAGGGGTCTGGCGGCTTTCACCGCCCCCCACGATAGATAGATAAATCGATACCAAGATACCTGGTACGAGCCCTCTTTGATGCGTGTCTTCCGACAACAAGTATCTTTATTCCTCACGTTGCGTCATGAAAGGATTGCGAACAAAGAGGGCTCGGGCAAAGGCGAGGTATATACCACCCTGAGTTTGGTTAAGTCGACAGGTCGTGATTGCTGTATGCATATGATACACAGCAGCGGGAACAGCAGCAGCATCATATATCGCACGCACCCATGGGTTGGCAACGGAAAGGGCAGGGAAGTTGTGTACAGGGATGGGGTGTACGAAAACACAACGAATTAATTAATTTCTTCTGCAGATACAAAGAGTCCGGGATAGATCCAATATGAATTGATAGCGTTACGTGACGACCAACCTGCGCTTTTTCGATTCCCCGAGCACCATACTTGTACGTGTAGCGATAGCGCCCCTGCGGGTACCATGCTCAACGTATAGTTGAAATGTTGAATTACACAGAGTGCATACTGTACGCATGCGTGATGAAGACACGCACACACATGGTTGTCTGTGAGGTTTTTTTAGGCCATGATCATGATGACGATGATGACAAGGTGTGTCCCTCGAAGACGTGTATGGCAGAGA